TGCGGATAACACATTGGCTATGTCTACACTCGTGGCTTCTTGCGCGAGAAATATGCAAATGAGGCTAAGTGTGGAATATCGCCGAACCTCATTTGCATACCTAATGAGCCGCCATTTTTGCAGAAGAGGCTCTTGCACCAGAAGGAGCTGTCTGCACGGCCCCTTCTTGCGCAAGAAAAACCCTCTTGCGCAATGCCGTTATTCCTGAGCATAATCAGCGTAGCGGCATTGCGCAAGAGGGTTTTTCTTGCGCAAGAAGGGGCCATGTAGACAGCTCCTTCCGGTGCAAGAGCCTCTTCTGCAAAAACGGCGGCTCATTAGGTATGCAAACGAGGCTCGGCGATATTCCACGCATAACCTCATTTGCATATTTCTCGCGCAAGAAACCGCGAGTATAGACATAGCCTAGAAGTGGAAGGGAACTCGAGAGGTCATCAAGTCCAGTCCCCTCCCTTCACAGCAGGACCAAGCACCATCTACCATCCCTGACACATGTCTATACGACCTGCTCTTAAATCTCTCCAGTGATGGAAATTCCACAACCCCCCTAGGCAATTTATTCCAGTGTTTCACCACCCGGACAGTTGGGAAGTTTTTCCTAATGTCCAACTTAAACCTCCCTTGCTGCAGTTTAAGCCTATTGCTTCTTGTCCTGTCCTCAGAGGCCAAGGAGAACAATTCCCCCCCCCCCTCCCCCTTGTGACCCCCTTTTAGGTATTTGGCTGATACTTGATACTATCTATATTTTTGTTAGTCTCTAGGGTGCTACAAGACTCCTCATTGTATCCTCTAAGATTCGTGCACAGCTGCCTTTCATTGACTGTCCTGGAATACACAGAGCTACACAATCGACTGTAACTTGGCCTTTAGGTTAAAAGCAATAAAAACCCAACTAAAGCCAAATTCTAAGACTAGGTTTATAGAAATATACAGAAAACACTTTGAATTGTCAATTTCTGCAGAGGTGAAAATGGTGGTGGGGCTGTTGATCAGTAAAGATTTCTTGCCGCGGCACAAGCATGCTGGGGAAAAGAGGACATTTTTGATTGCACAACTTTCTTTGAAACACCAATAAAATGGGAATTTTATTCCTGCCAGACAGCCACAATCTGTCCAAAAAAAAAAAAAGTATCAGAAAAATAGCCCCACAAATTAGACGCTCAATCTGTATCATTTCATAGCAGAACCTAGGAATAGGGTTGCCAGATACTTTCACAAAAAATCCCAAACATGGTGGGGGAAAAAAATTGGTTGAGCAAAAACCAAAACAAAACAGGGGACCAAAGTTGTTAACCAAAAAAGAAATCAAAACCAAAACCAAAAGCAATCAACAGGAGACCAAACTTGTTGAGTGAAAAAAAAAAAAGGTCACTACGCCTTTAAATCTCCCTGGTCTGCTGACCCCCACCAGACTGGGCAGGGGAAGAATGATATTTTCTGTTTTTTTTTTACCGGACAGGTGCCACAAATACCGGACTGTCCAGGAGAAAACCGGACACCTAGCTATCCTACCTGGCAATGGGATCTACTTTTGAATGGAGTGACATGGTGAGGATTGTGTTCGTTCTGTTTGCTTTGTGATGCTGGATGTGATTCCTACTGTCCTGTACTTTTCTGTTGTAACCCCGGGTGTGTGCCTCAGTTTCCCTGAAACAAAAAACCGGACTATGTAGCACTTTAAAGACTAACAAGATGGTTTATTAGGTGATGAGCTTTCTTGGGCCAGACCCACTTCCTCAGATCAAATAGTGGAAGAAAATTGTCACGACCATATATACCAAAGGATATACCAGACCCACTTCAAGCGCATCACCTAATAAACCATCTTGTTAGTCTTTGAAGTGCTACATAGTTCTGTCTTTTGTTTCAGCTACACCAGACTAACACGGCTGCATCTCTATCACTATTCAACAATAAACTCAGGCTGTCTTGTAACCCGAGCCTGGATGGAGGAAGCAACCAGGTGACACCTTGCCCAGAAGTCTGAACAAAGGAGGGGTTGGGGCTGCCTGGAGAGCTGGGACCAGTTGCTGGGTGTGTGAGTGTAGTTTTTTGGCTTAGGGAGAAAGGAGTCTAGCTGGCTTGGGGGGCCGGCGTGGGGGAATCTAGCTGGCTGTGGGCCCCACTATCCCCAAGTTGGATTGTACTGAATGCTCCTGGTTCCTGTAACAACAAGTCTGTGCTACACTGTGTCCCTGTGAACCAATAAACCTTCTGTTCTACTTGCTGGTTGACAGTCTGACTGCAGATGGAGGTGCACTCCCCTACACTCCATGACAAATGGTTGCTCCGAGCTGAAGTAGCTTGAAACTTGAAGTAGGTTTGACTTACTTTCTGTTTTTCCTGCATAGGACCCAGTGACTAAGGTTACCAGGTGTCTGGCGTTGACCCGGACAGTCCGGTATTTTCGCCTTCTGTAAAAAAATTCAGAAAATACCGGACACCTAAAATGTCCAGTATTTTCTGATTTGCACCCAGGAGGTGAAAATCCCAGGTGCTTACCTGGTTCCGCAGGGGAGCTGTCCGGCCTGGAGCAGGAAGACAAGATGGTGGACAACAGCAGCCTGTTAGGGGCAAAAAGTCTCAAAAGTACTTCTTAAAGGGGCCTCTCGGGGTCCTTTTTTTTTTCTCAACAACTTTGGTTTCCTCCTTTTTTTTTTCTCAACAGAATTTTTTCCCCGTTTTTTTTTGGGGGGGAGGGGATATTTGGTATTTTTGGTTAAACCATCTGGCAACCCTACCAGTGACAGATCATGTTCTGCCTTAGTTCCCAGTGAGACATGGAGTTGCCTGATATGTATTTGCACTATGTGCAATATTTGCAATTCTACGGACTCCCTCGGCGTACCCATTCTGTTAAACAGACTCACACTTGTGACGCCAGAGATGAAAAGTGGTAGGCGAGTCCGCTTCACTGTTGGGGTCTTTCATTGATGCTGGTGTAAACGGGGAGGAGGAAATCTTTGAAATCTGAATGGGGAGAAGAGTCCGGTCTTTTATCATGTCCTTAAAACACATGCAGCAGACTCTCAGTGTGCCATTTTCAGATTTGGCACACGAGTGCTAGAATCCATTATCAGCTTGCAACCATGGATTAATCTCAATTATGACTTCAATTGAAGTGCATTTGTTCTTGATTTAAAAAAAAAAAGCCTCAAATGTTTTCTTCGCAGGAGTCATTGAAGTGAGGCATTCGGATGCCGAGCAGAAAAATCCAGGCTCTTTAAGAAATAGGATCTCTGCTTTTAACACAGAAACGTTCCCACTGCTGCAAAACCCCCTAGGGTATGTCTAGACTGCGGCGTTATTTCGGGATACGTCCGGTATCCCGAAATAGTTTTCCGCGTTTTAACAGAACGCCCATTATTTCAAAATGGAATCAAAATAACAGGTTTGCTATCCTGATGTCCCGGTAAGCCTCGTTCCAGGAGGACTTGTCGGAATAGTGGTCTATTTCGAAATTTGGCACTGTGTAGATAGTCTATTTCAAAACCTGGCGCTACCTCGAAATAAGCTACGCGATTGGCATAACTCACATTGCATAGCTGATTTCGAGCTAGCATCGCTGTGTAGACGCACCCCTAAAATACAACACGGCTCCAAACACAGGGATTGTTAGAGATGAAGTGGACTCTACAAATGCCACCTGTGGCCATCCCAGTGAATCCAATGTGGTGGTTCCCACTCGCAACGTTTAGGGGTGTGCGTTTGAAGGAGCAGACCAGCAGGGGAGTCGGTTTTCCCCGAGAGTCCACTACTAACAGGCGCCTCTGTCCAAGTGTGTGGAAACCAGGATGGCACTACCTCATGACCCCACGACCACCCCATGTCACCACCATTGAGTTCCGGGAGAGCCACCGATCTGGTATTCTCTGATTTTTTTTACCGGACAAAGAGCGCAAATACCGGATTGTCTGGTAAAATACCGGACACCTGGCAACCCTACCCCCAACGCAATTCTTTACACATTCACCGGGCTGCTAGCTTCTAGGCCACCGTTTGGTGCCGTGATCCACAGAGGAAAGGCAAGATCAAACACCCAGAAAATATATTTCCAATGTAAGTTCCCTCTCCTTTTTTAGAAAATGACATGGGGCCTAAGGGGAAGCCATTGGAAGGACTCTCGCCAACCTGAAGGGGATTTGGATGTCTAAATCGTTTCCTTGTCAATGTTATTTATGCCGAGAGAAAAATCTCACGATGGAGCATTCGTTTGGCACAGGGGTGGGGAACCGAGGGCCCGAGGGCCGGATGCTGCCCCTGGCTTGCCTGGGTCTGGCCCCCAAGGCTCAGAGCTCCCCCCAGCATTAGGGAGCCTGTGCTGGAGCACCAGCCCCCCGCCTCCCCCACTTCTCCCACCGTGGGGCTGGAGCACACAAAATCTGCTAGGCTGGGCCCCTCCCAGGCTCTGGTGTGTGAGGGGAATGTGGGGAGGGCCTTTCTTTTCAGGGTGAGGGGAATGTGGGGAGGGCCTTTCTCCTCAGGTGGGGGCCACGTCAATGAGGGTTTGGGGGGTTGTTTTGCTTCTGACTTGTGTGCGGCCCCCGACTGATTTTTCTGTGGGTCAGTGGCCCCACGACCCCAGAAAGGTTCCCCACCCGATGTAGCAGCTCTAGCCCTTTTCAATACGTATTAGCCAGGATTTTAGGGAAGAGGCAGCCCCCTTGGTGTTTAGCGGTGGAAATATTTCCCAGAAAGGGACACAGCAGTTGCCTTTTCAGATTACTGCTTAGCTGCAAAACATGTGGTGGGGGCGAGGGGGGGGCCGGCGGGTGGATGGGTGCAAAACCTACCTGTGATTTTACAGAGCTCCCTGTTAGCTCATTTCCCACGGTGTCCGCCACAGCACACAGGCTAATCAAATAATCAACCGCTTGCTGGAGAGCCGACCGCCTCCTGCATTGTACTGGGCAACCTGCCGGATCGGCAGCCACGCGGGAGTGAAACAAGCGAAGGGGGAGGGGAGCAATTAGCCCTCCGTTATATGTCGCAGGGCAAAGAGATTATTTTAAAATCAGAGGTGCCGTTTGACCCAAGATGATACTGCAGGGGATCAGGCTGCTCCTTCCAGGAATCAGGACTTGGAACCGGGGAGCCCAAGCTAACTTTTTGATTGCGACCGCAAGGAAGCAGCCACGTTATTCCGAAATAACTTAGTCCGCATCTACCCAGCAGGCAGGGATTTCGAAATAACGTCGAAATACTGTCAAGCTGGAGGACTTCCCACGCCGACTCCCCTGGCCCTCATTGTACGAGGAGTAAGGGAAGTCGGAGGAAGAGGATTCTGGTTCGAAACAAGTGCTGTGTAGACGTGCCCAATTTCATAGAATCATAGGACTGGAAGGGACCTCAAGAGGTCATCGAGTCCAGTCCCCCGCCCTCAAGGCAGGACCAAGCTCCGTCTACACCATCCCTGACAGATGTCTATCTAACCTGTTCTTAAATATCTCCAGAGAGGGAGATTCCACCACCTCCCTTGGCAATTTATTCCATTTGACCACTCTGACAGTTAGGAATTTTTTCCTAATGTCCAATCTAAACCTCCCTTGCTGCACTTTAAGCCCATTACTCCTTGTCCTGTCCTCAGAAACCAAGAGGAACAAATTTTCTCCTTCTTCCTTGTGACACCCTTTTAGATATTTGAAAACCTCTATCATGTTCCCCCTTAATCTTCTTTTTTCCAAATTAAACAAGCCCAGTTCATGAAGCCTGGCTTCATAGGTCATGTTCTCTAGACCTTTAATCATTCTTGTCGCTCTTCTCTGTACCCTTTCCAATTTCTCCACATCTTTCTTGAAATGTGGCGCCCAGAACTGGACACAGTACTCCAGCTGAGGCCTAACTAGTGCAGAGTAGAGCGGCAGAATGACTTCAGAATGATTTCGAAAGAAGCGACGCCCTTGTTTCTTACACTGTGTTCCGCGGAGAACTCACAGGTGTGCTACGGCCGTTTGAAGGAAAAAAACGCCCGCGGGAGCTGCTGAGACGCAGCGGGTGGTGCGAAGAGGTGAGCGAGTGATGACGCAGCGGAAATGAGGCAGGGCGACCCACGTTCCTCCCAAGAACTGAACACAGTACTCCAGCTGAGGCCTAACTAGTGCAGAGTAGAGCGGCAGAATGACTTCAGAATGATTTCGAAAGAAGCGACGCCCTTGTTTCTTACACTGTGTTCCGCGGAGAACTCACAGGTGTGCTACGGCCGTTTGAAGGAAAAAAACGCCCGCGGGAGCTGCTGAGACGCAGCGGGTGGTGCGAAGAGGTGAGCGAGTGATGATGCAGCGGAAATGAGGCAGGGCGACCCACGTTCCTCCCATGCTTCTGTGCCCGGCTTCTCTTGTCAGAGGGGAGGAGCGTTGCAGGGCCAGCAGCAGGCCCGGCTCTGATTGGCTGTCTCTGGGGATCCTGCCTGCCAGGAGAGAGAACTGCCCTAAAGCCGCCACCCCGACTGGGTCTTTGCACCGGTGCCTTTAGCCCTCGCTTGTTACCCAGGACAGCTGACGGGGGCCAGCACCTTCCACCCTCTTGCACAGACAATGCCCTTCCCTTCAGTATTCTGTGTCAAAAATAGCAGAGCCAGGGGCTAGAGCTATTGAAGGACAAAACATTAAGCAGTAAGGGACTCACTGTGAATTGGGGGGCAGGGTACGGCCCTCAGTGCCCCTAATGCTGGCGTGGCTGCTATGGCTGCTGTCAGTCAGCTGCTTGACATTAACCCATGCTTGATGAGGTATTGAATGTATAATTTCCACCAATATGAGTAAACAGAGTAAATTACATTTTCCTATCACAAAGACAGAAGTCTAGAAGGCTTCACTGGGCAGTGAGCGAACATTGTTGTTGTCAGTAAAAGTGTCGTCTGTCGTTCAAGGGGCAAGCTTTTTTTTTTGCTCAACAAAAAAATCCTTGGTGTTCCTCGTTAAAAAAAATTCTTGTTTCGTGTTCCTCGCTCTTAAAAAGTTTAAGAAACACTGAGCTACGCAATTGATGCCGCTCAATTTGCATCGCTTGTTTCGAGTTAAGCCCTGCTGTGTAGACGCACCCTAGGATGCTACACCGGATGGATCGGAACATCGGTGGGAATCCTTCAGTAAAGCGCTGCAAAATCCACGCATCTCCCCGGCTCGTTTTTACGGGTATCCATTTTGTACCTAGAACCCTGCACATTTGTGGGTATCTGCTTTATCGCCGCAGGATCCACCTCTGCAGAGGTAGCTGCATGTAGCCACGGATTGCATGTGCAGTTGTGGAGGCCAATTTTGTGTCCGCAAAGGGCTCTATCTTTCCGTCCTTCCAACATGAGGAAAAAGCAAGCAGGGGGAGTTATTTTAAAAGCGAGACACCAATCTGTTCCTGACAGAAGGGGGATTTTAAAAGCGAGACACCAATCTGTTCCTTGGGGACGGGAACACATTTTGAAATGCACAGACAAGCTTCCCATGTACCTGCGAGCATGGCACCGGGTGGCATTTGCACAACAAACGGCAACCACCAGTGGCGAGTGACAGTGAACACTAGTGAGCCAAGTAGAGAGCACTGGTGAGAAAAGTAGAGCGCACCAGTGCGCCTCTCCAAAACCCAGCCAGCGCGCACCCCTCTTTCTCCGTTATTTTGCCCTGCCGAGGCACACGTGGATAGGGATGTGCTTGTGAAGCCGTGTGCCCACGTCGGCGCTCTGTTTGCATGCCCCTTCCCCGCAGGACTCGTTCAGAGAAATACTGCATGACACTACCCCCCGAGCATCGGAGTCCAGGGATAAATTCGGACTGTCAGCTCCAGCCCCCCTACCAGGAGACCGGCTCAGCAATTCTTGCGGCACTGAGAGAGTGCAGAAACCACGCCTACTGCACGCTCTTTAAAGAGCCCTATGGAAAGAACACAGTCTCATAAGAAGAGGAGGAAAATAGACAAGAAGGATGAGGCAGGAGGCTTTCTAGATCTGGCCGTGTGTATCCAGAGGTGCAGCACGAATC